CCAGAGCCTGCAGCCACACTCGCTATAACTGCAGAATTATACATGCTCATCACTGACTTCACCACTGCTGGAGCTCCATCAGCAGCCTGCAACATGACGCAGAGCAGAGGAACGGGGGACACTGGACTAGTGTATAACAGTTGCTCAAATCCAGAATCACTCATTCACTCATTCATTCATTCATTCTCCTTCAGCTGAGTCCCTTCAGTAATCAGGGGTCGCCACAGCGGAATGAACCGCTAATTTATCCAGCATATGTTTTACACAGCGGATTTCCTTCTAGCTCCAACCCAGTACAGGGAAACACCCATACACACTCATTCACACACACACACTCATACACTACAGCCAGTGTAGTTGATCAGTTCCCCTATAGCGCATGTGTTTGGACTGTGGGGGAAACCGGAGCACCCGGAGGAAACCCACACCAACACGGGGAGAACATGCAAACTCCACACAGAAACAACAACTGACCCAGCCGAGACTCAAACCAGAGACCTGAGTCCTGTGAGGAGATTGTGCTACCCACTGCGCCACCGTGCCGCCCTCAAGAATGATTGTTGGTGTGAGTTATTCTGAATAGTGAGGTGAGTGTTGTGATGTCGGCTCCTGTTGTGGTGCATTTTACACTTGATTTGCTGTTGAGTTGTGATGAATGGATTGATAATAATTGTTCATAAAGTCAGATCTCTAACTCGCTCTCTCTTTAAATGATAGGAATCATGGAGGATTTATGAGCAAACCGTGTGAACAGGAACAGCTGCTCTGGTATTATTTATTATCCAATTGTTGATTAATTCATCTCTGTTTTACTGGAGTCAGAGTTACATTTAATGAGGGAATCAAGATTTTAAAGACTCTAAAACTCTTTAACACACACACACACACACACACACACACACACACACACACACACACACACACACACACACACACACACACACACACACACACTCTATGGGTGTCATATTAGACAGCAGCTCAACTCTTGAACATCATATCTCTCATGTCAAAAAAGCTGCCGTCTTTCGAGTTATGAAGTATGCTCTCCATCTCATGCAGGAAAGCTAGTCCATGCTTGTATGAGCTCTAGATTAGATGACTGTAGTGATCTGTTTGCTGGGTGTCCAGCATCCTCTAGTAATAAACTTCAGTTAGTGCAAAACACCTCTGCCAGAGTTCTGATCAGGGCTGCGTTTCCCAAACTGCGGCGTAACTCACGGCAGCACTGTCATAGTACGATGCGTCATTTGGGAAAAGAGCGATGTAGTGACGAGAGTTTCCCAAAACTGTAGTTTCTCTGTTGCAGATCCATCATTTGAGTCACGTTAGTTATAACATAAAACACCCATAATGATGCTGTAAACAGGGTGGAGGAACTACTTCTGTAGAGAAAAAACCCCACACTATACCAACTGACCCAACCGGAACTACAACCAGCAACCTGAGAGCTGTAAGGCCACAGTGCGACACCACTGCGCTACTGTGACGCTCATGCATAGCCGGCCCTCCCTATAAGCGAACTAAGTGACTGCTTAGGGCCTCACCACCACTAGGGGGCCCCAACCATTTTTTATTTACACACACATATATATAATTATGCATTTATAATTTATTAATCAATCTTCGCATTAGTGTTAATTGTTTTGTTGTTGTTGTTGTTGTTGTTGTTGTTGTTGTTGTTGTTGTTGTTGTTGTTGTTGTTTTGGGTTTTTCTGAATGTATATTTTATTACTAAGTAGTGCATTTTCACTTTGGCTAATTATTGCTCGCTGTCTTTCACTGCAGGGTTTTATTTTTGGAATTTATTAAAACAAAAAACTCAACCTGGACTCTTGTTTCGAATCTTTAATCTGTTTGCCAAATTAATCAAATATGTTTTACACAATGCAGAATTACACAAAGCAGTTATCACTGCTGCCTTCATTACAGAGAGTTAAATTCTCCATGTTTTACGCTGCTAGTAGACAGCAGCAGTGCTTTTTTAAGATGTCCAAATCACTCACACTGTTATTAAGCAGAACACATCAGGCTTTACTTCTCTGTGTCATTGATTGTGTTTAATAAGCAATTTCAAGAGTTTCCACTTAGATATGCTTGGCACTTATAGCAGGTTTGGCATGCTGTCCCGGGAGAGAACCCTGAGCTCGGAGATATTTGAGCCCAGGGCTTCCGCCCGGTCTAGAAGCATATCAGGAGAACCGAGATCAGGTAGGTCTCGATCGCTCCCCCTTTAGAAGGGGAGAAAAAGGAGGAGACGGGATGGAAGGGGGGATTCTTCCAAAAGGAAGATAGTGCAATAAGGAGAAAGTGATCCATTTATATTAAGCTAGGATCATTCTGATTGGATTATTACTAATTACGGATGAGTGGCCAGCGGTGCACAATCATATCACGTGCTCCTCTCGAAATTAGTTTATGAAACTTCACATAATCACTGTGAGGCGGTTTGCAATGGCAATACTCCACTATTTAGAGCAAGGCAGGACCCAAAATGATTCTGCTTAGGGCCCCCACATGTACAGGGCTGGCTCTGTGCCCGTGATCTTAATGTCTGCTTTTTGAATCATTCCAAGTTTAAATGGTGAAATGTTCTAAATGAATAGGGCATAGGGGGCATAACTGGGAATAGAACACAGCCAGGAACTCTGCTTAACTACAGCTCCAGAGGTGTAGTTGTTAGCGTACAAGTTTGCGATGCAGTTAGCACACGTCCATTAATACGATGGATTTAAAATGCCAAATCACCAAACTATGTTTGTAACGACACAGCTTGCGGTTTTCAGAAACGCACCCCAATGCAAGAAAATATGGCCACATCACTCCAGTGTTCTCCTCCTGACACTGGCTACTGTTCAGTCCCGCATTGATGATCAAATATTGCGTCAAGCTGTAAATAATCCAGCTCCTGTTCATCTGACCCAGCTTCTGTCTCACTGCAATCCAACCCGCTCCTGAAGATCCCTAAACTCAGGCTGGTACCCAGAATAGCAAAGTCCACTAAAGGAGGTCATGCCTTCTCATTTATGGCTCCATTAATAACTAGGGCCGGACGGAATCTGCGGACTTTTTTTGCAATTTCTGCTGAGAATTTTGGTAAAGATCTCCAGATTTCTGCGGGATTATTTTGGGAGTATCATAACTTAAACCTTATTACTTAAAATAAAAAAATTATATATTTTTCACTTTTATTAACTGCTTAAAATGCAAATCCAATTAGTTCCACTTTTTCTGGTAAACAAAGCAAGTCTCTCATATAATATCTACAGAGACTATGACTGCACACACTGCACTGTGCATAAATCAGATGAACATTTTACATTAGTCAATATCATTCCTGTAATTCATTTAAAAACTGAATAAATATAAATTTACACACATTTACACAGGTAAATAAACAGAAGTAATGATGGGCTAAACATCTGCGGAAAATCAGCGTGCACAGATTCTGTGTGGGCCTACTAATAACTAATAACCATAACTGTTTTATTCAGATTGTAATGCAGTAATCGGCACCTTTGTCCAGCTGGAGATAATTACTACGACAAGCACTGTACAAACAAACTTAAAATAAATACAACACACACACACACACACACACACACACACACACACACACACACACACACACACACACACACACACACAGTCTCACTCACTCTCTCTCTCTAAATCTTTCTCTCGCACACACACTCAATCAGTCAGCTCCAGGTTGTCGGAGCGCCCGCTGCTGGAGCACACACACACAACCTCTCTCAAACACACACACGCATACCGCTTAGTCTTTTTCTCTCTCACACACACACACCTTTCAGTCAGCTCCAGGTTCTCGGAGCGCCCGCTACTGGACTACACACACACTCTTGTCAGTCTCCCTCACACACGCTCTGACTCTCTCAGTGAGCTCCAGGTTCTCTGAGCGGCCGCCGCTGGAGCTGTGACCGCCGACAGTGCCCCGCGCTCGGCATGTGGACGCCGCTGGCCGCGCTGCTGCTGCTG